ACAGTGTAGCGCCATCGTGTTCGGACGATTGGTCGACCGTAGACTAAACGTCCTAACGCTTAGCGTCGTATAACATAAGTAATTTTAATAATTAAAAAGCACGTATACTGACGATACAAAAATATATAGGTATCGACAGGGACAGTAAGATGCAGATAGCACAATACAGAATAAATTGTATCCATATTACAGAGCATTTACTGATTTCGTCATAAAATAGAAACCTTACCTCAGCTCTTTTTACAGATATAATTCTTCAAAATATACACTACTTATTGGAATTATACTCCAGTTCTCGAGCTGCCTGAAACATAAGAGAGAAGAGAGAGAGAGAGAGAGAGAGAGAGAGAGAGAGAGAGAGAGAGAGAGAGAGAGAGAGAGAGAGAGAGAGAGAGAGAGAGAGAGAGAGAGAGAGAGAGGAGAGAGGAGGGAGAGAGAGAGGGAGAGAGAGGAGAGAGAGAGAGAGAGAGAGAGAGAGAGAGAGGAGAGAGAGAGGAGAGAGAGAGAGAGAGAGAGAGAGAGAGAGAGAGAGAGAGAGAGAGAGAGAGAGAGAGAGAGAGAGAGAGAGAGAGAGAGAGAGAGAGAGAGAGAGAGAGAGAGAGAGAGAGAGAGAGAGAGAAGAGACAGGGAGAGAGAGAGAGAGAGAGAGAGAGAGAGAGAGAGAGAGAGAGACAGAGAGAGGAAGAGAGGGAGAGGGAGAGGGAGAGGGAGAGAGAAGAGAGAAGAGAGAGAGAGAGAGAGAGAGAGGAGAGAGAGAGAGAGAGAGAGAGAGAAGAGAGAGAGAGAGAGAGAGAGAGAGAGAGGAGAGAGAGAGAGAGAGAGAGAGAGAGAGAGAGAGAGAGAGAGAGAGAGAGGAAGAGAAGAAACCACACAGAGAAAGAGAGAAGAGAGAGAGACAAACAGGGAAGAGAGAGAGAGAGAAGAGAGAGAGAGATGAGAGAGAGAGAGAGATTTTAGAGAGAGAGAGAGAGAGAGAGAGAGAGAGAGAGAGGAGAGAGTACGAGAGAGACATCCTCGACAACGCACACACCAGGGAGAAGAGAGAGAAACACACACACAGCGGAGAGAGAGAGACGCACAACACGCATTCATCACAGATCCTTCTACGTTTTGTCTCTGCTCTTAAGAATTGCTCAGGAGCCTTCTCTCGTCATTCTCTCGTACGTCGTTCTCCCACAGTCTGTTAAGTCCCACGTCCATTCTCTCATCGCTACTGGTCTCACGCGCGCCAGGGAGAGAAGAGACCCACACCACACCCAGGGCAGCAAGAGAGAGAACACACACACACAGGCGAGGAGAGAGAGCAGCACAACGACAGGAGGCGTCTCTCATTCCTCTCTTCTCTCACAGTCTCGGATCTCGTCTCCCCGCACTCATTCTCACTCCTTGATGGCACTCTCTCCCGCTCTCGCTGAGCCCGGCGAGAGAGAAGAGAGGAGAGGAGCAAGAGCAGCGAGAGAGAAGAGAGAGAGAGAGAGAGAGAGAGAGAGAGAGAGAGAGAGGAGATGAACGAGAGAGGAAAGAAGAGAAAGAGAATAGAGAGAGAGAGTGTGTGCTGTGCGAAGACGAAGAAGAGAGAGAGAGGAGAGAGCAGTAGAGACGAGAGTCGAGAGAGTCACGAAGAGAGAGAGAGAGAGAGAGAGATGAGCAGAGAGAGAGAGAGAGAGAGACAAACAGAGGAAAGCAGAGAGAGACAAACAGGGAGAGAGAGAGACCGAAGAGTAGAGAGTAGAGGTCCAGAGTCAGAGAGAGAGAGATGAGAAGTGAGCACGAGATGACGTAGCAGAAGAGAGAAGAGTAGAGAGAGAGAGAGGCAAACCAGATAAGAGAAGATGAGGAGAAGAGTACTCTCTAATACATACGTCTCAGTGCTGAACGAGCTCGCGAGGCACGAGTCGCATGACGTGCACGCATTAGGCATCACGAGAGAGTTCGGACGTGAGAGCGCTAGTAGGTGCACGCACTCGATATTGACTGCACGCACGGATGAGAGAGAAGAGGAAGGCTATTGTCGGTGTTTACCGCAGAGGAGGGAGTCACCAAGCAGGAGAAAGATGAGTAGGATCTACGTACGCTATTGTACCCCATGTGTCTTAGGGTGGTGCACGCAAGCTGAGCACGTGGACGAGAGAGTCTCACGTACTTGATGAGAGAGAGAGAGATGAGAGAGCGAGTCTCAACGACGAGATACGAGAGATGACGCTGCGAGAGAGATGCAGAGAGAGACGAGGACAAAATCAGAGAAATGAGAGAGAGAGAAACCATACACAGTCGTAGAGAGAGAGAGAGAGAGAGAGGAGTAGAGAGATGAGGGCAGATGACTCGAGAGTGAGTAGAGGGAGATAGAGCACGGCGTGCAAGTCTCTACTCGAAGTCGAGTCTTGCAGTCAGTTATCGAGGTAGGCGCTCGGGTCGGCTCGGCGTGGCGCGGGGGGGAGTAATAATAGAAATACCGTTAATAGCATCATGCACGAGATAGAGACTCTTATTGTAAGTACTT